ATGTGGAGTGCCAGCATCTTCAGGGATTCTTCTGACGCCCTTAGGTTGCCCAAATATGTTTCGCACCACATACGACGGAGGCCGCCGTCCGTATCAGTCCCATAGGTGGCCTTCATCTCGTTCCAGAGCATCCAATTTAACGCACATCCGGTCCGAGCCTCATCGAGCTTGGCTGCCCAGACCTGTATCGGGGTACTGACACCTTCCTGTACCTCCTTCTCATCCTCCTCAACTGTTTCCCAGTCAATCACCACGGTCACTGTTCCGTTGTCCAGCGCCTTGCCTACCCTTTTTGGCAGGATCCGAATTTTCTTAACACCATCCGAAGCAACCTCCGAGACCTTCTCCGGAGCAACCTTTGCGGTCTCCGCCGCGAAGTCCAGTCTGTACAGCGGCTTTCCATCGCTGCTTACGTCCACGATTTCGACCAGGGGAGCACCCTTCGAGTTAGTAATACCAACCGGCTTCGTCACTGGCAGGCTCGGCTGCGGATTTTGGCTCAGGGCTTCAAACTCGGGCTGTCTGGCCAACCATGTCGCAAGGTGCGCATACCGCGGCTTACCGCTGCGCAAGTTGATAATTCCGTCGTGGATTTCCGACAGTTTGTAACTCTCCTTAGCCGCCCCTGCTCGCAACAATAGAGCCAAACCAGTTTGGGAGCTTCGAAGCGTCAAAGAAGCCGCATCCGTATCCACAATCACTGAACTAAGCAACCCACCACACAGCACACGACCCACGCTCCCGGTACTGCTCTCCACACCCCTCGTCATCACCCTCCAAAAAAAACTCTTTCCAACTACACCGAACCCCTTCTAAATAAATGCACCTTGGCAGTTAGCTGTGACAAAGGCTACATATGTTTGTTCGCTTCGATGATTTTCCAAACTGCTTGGGCGAGGAACTGGGGCGGTTCGCTGGTGCTGTCCCTGTTGAAGTAGTGGGCCTGCGTTTGATTGTAGGCACTGACGAGTGCACGAGCGTCGTCCGTCGACAAGTCTCTCTGAGCGTATCGCAGGAGGGCGGCAACGTTTTGAACAAGGTCAGTGTTGAAGGGCCGGTTGTTGGGTCGCCGGTGAGCGTCGGACGTATCATCGCCGGTGGCGAAGGCGTCGTGTACGGCATGCTCTTCGCAATGCTCCAAGTGACGCATGAGACAGGCATCCTTCAGGGCGCACCCTTCTCTTTCCCGGTCACACTCTCCCTTCTGTTCGGGATCATGGAAGGACATGCACCTCAACACTGCCATCGCCCGAATCTCACCACTCTCCAGTGCCTGCAACAGCGGGGTCTCGGTCGGGGTGGTCTTCGTCGGGGTCTCGGTCGGAGTCTGTGTCTCGATCAAAGTCCGTCCTGTGCCGAAGATGAGCTTGTGGGCGGGTTGTAAATAAACCTGAGTGGGAACGACGGCGATAAGGTGTTCGCCACGATCATTAGTGATGCCAAAATCGACGTTCGTTGCGAAGCCGATGCTGGAGAGCAACTCATTCCGTGTGCCGGAGCTGGCGTACGTATGCGGATACCCTTCGAGCTGCTTCATGTCGGCCACGGGTGCCTTGTTCGCTGACCGCAGGCACTCCTCAAGCTTCATGGAAACCTCGCTTCTCGTCGACAGATCCAGCCACAGCGATGGGTTTGTTTTGTACGGAGGCATCTCCGACCAATGCGGCAAATCCGCTTCAGGGTTCGTAGTCTCTCTCCTGTTCTCCCGCACACTCGGCGCATTCTCCACACGTATGTCCCGGTCCTCCAGTCGACCGGTTTGCAGCAACAGCGGCAGCTTCAAGCCATGCACCAACACACAGGAGCCTTGTGTCCCGATGGTAAGTAGTCCCAACAACGCATCCGTCCTAACGCTCCCAGTAGTAGTCTTCGCTGAACGGGCCATTCCAAACACTTTAAAATTAAAGTACCCCAAAACACTCACGCAAGACGAAACACAGAACCGAAGATGGACTGAAGGGAGCGTAGTCAACCTCGAGACAATCCCCCCTCCTCCCAATCATCGTTGTAGCCCAATCCCGCATGACGGTGTCGACTGCCATCCTATGTGTCGTGATGTTGACTGGACTGGAATTGTTCTCGTTCGTTCGTGGCAGGAAAAAAATCGGGCCACCCTCCGTCCGTCCCCTGAACAGCAAGATGTCCATCTCCAGTACATCATCGACGTCCCCAATTCCGGTCTAGTTAGGTAATCTGTCTCTCACCCAAAAAAAATTTGCGAACACATCAATACGTCCGCATGCTCCTTTCCCGTACGAGATCTGCGACTGCTACCCCAATCTCACGTAACCCCCCTGGGTGGGGTGGCAGAAAACTAATCATTGCTCGCTCGTGGTATGAAATTTGGATGTTGTTAACGGTTTGAAAGATGATCTTCCTATCGTGTCTGTCGAGGTCTCTGCGGCCGTATCGGAGGAGGGCCACGACGCTCTGTATGAATTGGGTGTTCACCGGTAGACTGGATTTGTTTGCGTGAGCTTCAGTCGTATCGTCACCGACTGTAAATAGGTGCGCCTCACTCGTTCCGCAAAAATCGGGGTTTCTCCAGAGATCAAGGCAGTTCAAGAAACAGCTTTTCTGCAGGATACACTGGCCACGGGTCTTGTGGTCCCAGGAGCCTACGTGTTGTGGGTCGTGGAAGGACATGCATAGCAACATATCCATTGCGGTGAGGTAACCCACCTCCAAAGCCTCGAACAGCTTGGCTTCAGGCTTTGCTTTAGGCTCCAGCAAGACGAACTGTTTCCACAAGCGGCTAGGTTCCGAAGCTTCGCCAACACTGAAGATAAGCTTCCAAGCAAAGTGACGATTCACTACCGTGGGAACAATTGCCACCACTACTTCGCCCTTGTCATTGGTGATACCGAGTTCCGCGTTGGGGCTCCCTATCTCCAGCGTTCTCACGTAGTAGTCCTCGTGCAACAGCATCTCGTTTGGAGTACCAGTGCTGCCGAATACCTCCG